CTATCAAAAGATATAGGATCTGGGGTCTTAAACAAGCAGCCATCTAGCTGAAAGGCAACAAAGCTCACATGGAAGAAGCACATCAGCCTGTGTGATCACAAAGTGTTGATGGGATAGGTATCAGGCATCAAAGGCACAGAACAAAAAATCTTATCATTGTGAATGAGGATGAGTACGGGGTAGAGACCCAAAGCCCACCTGTAGGCAACTGGACATCCCCTTGCAGAAGGGTCTCAGGGAGGAGCTGAGCCAGTCAGCTCCAATGAAACATACAATTTAATGCTTCCTTCCCACCCCCACCCCCTGCCCACTATCATGACCCCAATTCTACCTTACAAATCTGGCCAGACCAGAACATGGGTACAGATAAGAGCTGGAAACACAGGGAATCCAGGACAGGACCAAATTGAGAGTAGCTATACCAGGAGGGTAAGGGGAAGGTGGGGGGAGATAGGGGGAACTCATCACAATGATCTGTCTATAACCCCTCCCAGGGGGATGGACATCAGAAAAGTGGGTGAAGGGAGACATTGGTCAGTGTAAGACATGAAAAAATAACAGTAATTTATAAATTATCAAGGGTTTGTGAAGGAGGGTGTGGGGGGAATGAGGAGCTGATACCAAGGGCTCAAGTAGAAAGAAAACATTTTGAAAATGATAGCAACAAATGTACAAATGTGCTTGACACAGTGGATTGGATGGATGGATTGTGATAAAAGTGGTATGAGCCCCTAATAAAATAATTAAGAAAAAAAAGATGTCCTCTGGAAACAAAGAGGCTCTGTGAGCGGATGCCCTTGTGGGCTGCTGAGCACACAGACAGGAAGCCACTGCGCTACACTGACTTCCTTTCTTTCCAACTACAAGGACTTCCACGTGGCTTTAGTTCTTGACCTTGAAAAGCATGCGTAAGGCAGCATGATAAGCGATGGATGCAAACATGAATGAAACTATCTCCTCGCCAGGGCGGAGATGATAATATCTATTAGGGGGGACAAGACTGGTGGGAGAAAGCACGCCTATTAATAAACAAAATGTGATAAGGGAGGAACAAAGTAAGAAGAGCGTTGAGAGAAAAGACGCGCGTCAAATCTTATCAGCTTCTGAACAAGATTTCCGAGGGCGGAGGACGCAGCACAGCGCCTGGCAACGAGGGTCCCAAAGACCAAACTCGCTGCCACAGAGGCAGCTCTGACTCACAGCGGGCCCATCAGAAGGGCAACCAGGCAGCACTCAGTAAATCGCTCTTGCACAGTTACCGGACCGAGGAAGGATTTAAGTGGGACAATGGGAGTCCTTGGGTGGTGCTCTGCTGCTAACTGCCAGGCTGCAGGTTTTCGTCAGGTGCCTCGGAAGAAAGGTGCAGCCATCTGTTTTGGAAAAGTCAGCCACCACTGTAAACCCTAAGGAACAGTTCTGCTAGGACACTTGCTCCCTCTGCATCGGCACGGACTCGCTGGCAGCTTTGTCTGTTTGTTTGGTGGGAAAGGACCTCATGAACAGGATAGGCACAAGTAAGGAAGTCAATCGTGAGCTGAGGAACAAGACACTTCTGATGTTACCTGTGTTTAATCCTCACATGAAAGGTTAACGGGTCTGCATGGGATTGGATACACCTATCTAGATCATGTAGCTACTATGACTTCCTTTTTGAGAACAATCTTTTTATTGTGATTTGGGTGGCAGTTTGGAAAAATTGGTTTTCCGTTCAATCACACAGCCACATTCTGATCAGTGACCCAGGTGACAATCCCTACACTGTGAACAGCCCTCCTCCCACATCCTCCCTGGGTTCACCATTTCCACCCGTCCCTCTTTCCTATCCCTTCCTGCCTTCCAAGGCTCCTCCCTTCTAAGGACCAGGCTTTCTTTTCAGATCCGCCCTTCTCGAATCACACCTATGGGGAATGATGAACTCTGGTCAGGTATAGACACACAACAAGGCACTACCTGAACACATAAGGAGTGCACGTGAGGAGGCCACCAGTGGACACTTGGAAGAGGGAGGTGGCCCAGCGAAGGTGGCTTTCCCACTTGTAGAGCTGTCAGGCAACCTGATGACAAGCCCCAATCAGTGCCAGGCTGGGTGAGTTGATGTGTAGAGATTGGCACTCTTACCTGCTTGATGGGCTAGAGGGCAGAGGTAGAGAGAACTATAGTGGCTAAAGAGGGGGAAAGGAAGCCCCCGAAAGAAGACGATGAGATAGCAGGAGCCCCAAATACTGTGGGCAAACTACTCAAAGATCTGGCTGCGACCACTGAAGCAGGCAGGCTCGGGCAGCTCCCAAACACCGCAGGTGGTTAAAGGATATCTGACTAGCCCCTTGCGTCATAACCTCTTGCCGGTACCCATGGCCAGTGTGACTTCATCCCTCCAACGAGGGTGCAGCAGAAACAGTCGTTCCATGGGTTATGGGACACCCAGTCACGCCAAGGTGATGTTCAGACACTGTCTGCCCTGGCAATGCCTGCTGGTTAGGAGTCACATTTCCTGTTCATTTCAAAGACGTCTTTTGTAGTGTTTGGCTCTAACAAAGCTGGGCATTTCATTTCTTTGGAATAATCTGTTCTGGTCCAATACTAAAAAAGCCAAGTTGTGGGAAGAGAAACAAATCCAGTAAGTAACATTTCACCAAGGGGCCCCGGGAGCATCTTGCACATGTCGCTTTACAGGAAGCTCGTAGTCAAGGCTCCCTCCCACGCTCAGATGTCAAGTTCTCTGGCTCTGGAGTTAGTTGTCAGGTTAGATCCTTGGTTCAGTCCCTTTTTTTGGCAATTTACTGAACCTCTTTCAGTCTGTTTGCACAACTTTAAATTGAGAATGATATCACATACCCTTCTAAGGATTCCTGTGAGGATTCGGCAGGCTAATGGGTACAAAGTAGTATGGCCTTGCATAGGCACATGGTGACTTTCCCTACCCACAGCACCCAGAGATGCCAAGACCCCAAGCTCCAGCCCACAAAGAAGGCTGGAGGACCCATGCCCCCAGCCCTGTCTGTTTTGACAGCCTTCAGGAGGTAGGCAGTCAGGAAGAATTCCAGGGCTCTGCTTTAACTAAGCCTAGACATTCCCAACCATCACCATTTCCCCAAACAGAAGGAAACCAAACCCACCCCCAATCCAGGAGGGCACTGCATGTCGGGCAAAGTCAACGGAATGTTGCAAATGGATTGGGTGAGTCTGTGTCCATGGTGAGTAGTCGTCTGCAGTCTGGTTTCCTCACGCTTAATCTGGTGTTCTTCTTTCAAAGACTATCCGATCTCTTTGACGGATTACTTTTTCACACACATGGTCAAAGATGTTCTATCACAGTTAGGTGCCCAGCTCTTCTCTGAGTGTAGACTGAGGGAAAAGGAGAGACTGAGTCCTGTACTGCATCAGAAATGTACAGTTAGTCTCAGCTGGGCCCTTTGTTAGACACAGCATTCCACGTGAAGGCTTATGTCCCCTCTTGGACTAAGAAAGAAAAAAATTCCTCAAGTTTACTTTCTGGTGGAGCTTTTAATGTGTAACTTTAACTTCCCACATGTCAAAGGTTGATGAGAAAACAGGCTATCCTGCCATGAAAAATACATGGGAGATTTAAGGATACAACAAACTGAATTCAGGTGAGCCTTGCTTCGCTAGAAACAACCGTGGCGATGTTTGTTCACGCTTAAATTAGGAGAATGGAATATTAAACAGTGTAATTTGTTGTGCTAATAGACCAACAGTCACAACAGCAAGACCCTTCAATGAGAAGTTCTATTCTGGTCACACAACTCTCCAAATTAGGAGTAAAAACCCCAACTCCCACCCATGGCAGGAAATACTTATGGGAGAACACTGGAATGACAAGGCCAACAGGAAGGACAAAAAGGCATGTCCCGTAGTTTCCCAGCTATCAGAAAAGTCTGGTCCGTTACAGGTTGGTCGTGGGTTTGAAGCAGATGTGGAAGGTGAGCTGGCTGTGGAACTAGAACTGGAAGTCGAGCTCAGTTCAGTTCAGGCTGGAACCCCAGGGTTCTTCAGACCCCCCCAATTGCAGATTGCACTCACTGAACTCCAGCTCTGTTCTGTATCCTGGGACAAGCAAGCTCTGGGCGTGGAAGAAAGATGGGACCCTAGGCTTTGAGAAGCTCATATACTAAAGAAACAGATATGTAAACAAATAATCACAATGCAATGTTGGAAATGAGTAGAGATCTTTATGGTGTGGAGGCAGAGAAGAAGCAACAAACTACCTACTGGAAGGAACAAAGAATGAATTACTAGAATTGACAGAAGAAAGACGAAAGCTGTGTTCAGGAGAATGGCAGTATTTACTTAGATATCTTGAGGCCGGCTCTTTGAATTTCCGTATCCGGAATGAGAACAAAGCAGTGGACTTGACCACAAAGGTGACTCTGAGAAACAACGTGAAGACTTCCCAGCCAGCACCCCCTTGAGGTTGGCGATGCTGAGTTCATAGCAAGACCAACCTGCCCTGCCGCTGTATGCTTTCCTCTAGCGATGCTCAGAGCTCATTGGGATGAGAGTTTACTACGTGTCTACGAAGGAAGGAAGGAAGGAAAGAAGGTCAAAGAAGCCGAGGTAATTTGTGAGACAGGGGCCATCACGGTCATCAAGCAGGACGTAACGGGAGGTGAGAAGTATTGGAGAGACAGAGGGGCAGAGGTCAGTGGGATGGACGGAGAACAGAACGAGTCTGGGCTTCTACGGAGGCAAAACACAATGATCCAAAAGGCTGGCTGAAGAGCAGAGAGGGCAGGAGGATCAGCATTTGCCCAATATAACGCCAACATTTTGACTCAATGGTGCGTGAAGGAAAATGAGTTTACCACTGCTGTTGTGCTGTAGTGCAACATTATGACCACTGATCTGCTTAAAAGAACTCTGATGCATATCATTACCTCTTAGAGCAATGAACCATTTTGAAATGAACCTGCATGTCCATCTGATTTACCTCTCAGTTTGGGTAACTGCATATGCATTTTTTCTCTTTTCTGAAAGTTTACAGTTATTCTCCAATAATATTAAAAACAAACACTGAAACCATGAACTACTTTTTCACAAATGCTCCATCAGTCCAACACCACACACATGTACAGGATTGTAGGCTGCGTTGACCTTGGACAATCTTTCCAGGGATGTCCCACTATGTGGCAGGGCTGTGGCCTTGGGGATCTCTCAAGGGCCCTTTATGCTAAGGTTTGGGATTGCTTACTTGCAAAAGGTTGGGCCCAACCCACAAAGGCAGTGGTAGGAATTCAGCATCCTTCAGCATCCCCCCCC